CGAACAAATAATGCTAGCGAGACAGCTTTAGTATTAAGACCAGTAACTAAGTTAGATGTTGAAAAGGTAGTCATGTCTCTTAAGTCCTCAAGGGCTAAAGATATCTATGGTATAGACAGCTTTTATTGAAACAAATGAGTTGCTCAATAGTTAACACTTTAACACATATTATTAATAGTTCATTAGATCGAGGGAGATTCCCCACCTCTTGGAAACCGACGGTTGTGGCCCCTATATTTAAAGGAGGCGACCCCCGTTTAACCAGCAATTATAGGCCAATTAGAGTCCTCCCCAAAAAAAACTGGTGGCTAAACAAATTATTGACCATTTTAATAATAGTCCTTTTCAATTACATCCGATGCAGTTCGGCTTTAGGATAAATCATTCAACAGAAACGGCTACTTGTTATTTTATTGAAAAGGTAAAGGCATTAATGGATAAAGGTGGAGTGCTAGGGGCTGTATTTCTTAATTTACAGAAAGCGTTTGATACTGTAAATCATAATATTCTTTTACATAAATTACTCAATTTTATTTTTTCGACAAAATCTGTAAATTTAGTTGAATCTTATCTCCTTGTTGTTTTATTGAAAAGGTTAAAGGCATTAATGGATAAAGGTGGAGTGGTAGGGGCTGTATTTCTTGAATTACAGAAAGCGTTTGATACTGTAAATCATAATATTATTTTACATAAATTACTCAATTTAAATTTTTCGACAAAATCTGTAAATTTAATTGAATCTTATCTCTCTTCTCGTTCCCAGGTAGTAAAAATTGATAAGTATACATCCAATTCACTATGCCTTTCAACTGGTGTTCCACAAGGGTCCATATTGGGGCCAATTCTCTTTAGCATGTATATTAGTGATTTACCCATGGTGTGTCAAAAATGTAATATCATAATGTATGCTGACGATACAGTCATATTCACGCATGGTAAAAATGCAGAAGAGGTTGCAAATAAGTTGACAGATGTTCTGGCAAAAATCATATCCTGGCTCAATCAGTGTTATCTGAAATTAAACGTGTCAAAAACAGCTTGTATGTTTTTTTCTAATGGACATAGTGTTGATATAAAACAGGATATTTTCATTTCGGGAGAGAGATTACAGGTTGTTTCGGAATATAAATACTTAGGGGTTAATTTGGACTCATGTATTGGTTTTAAAACGCATATAAAAAAGGTATGTAAAAAGGTCAAATTTAATTTTAGTAAATTTTCGGTTTATTAGAAACTCTTTATCAAATGAGGCTGAAAAGGTATATTTTCATTCTATGATTCTTTCTCATATTACTTATTGTCTGACAAGTTTGGTCCAATACACATGCTATAGTTCTAAAACCATTGGAATTATTGTACAAACAAGCACTTAAAATTTTAGATTAAAAAAACAGTTTTCAGTTCACAATTGTCATATCTTAAATACATATAACTTGCTTAGCTGGGAAAACATCACTAAGTTTAAAAATGTTTGTTTAGTTTATAAGATTAGGCATGGTTTAGCTCCTCCTCCTCTGGTTGATTTTATTAAATTTAAATCTATTGAAAAGCTAAAGCTGATTGCATAATTCCACATAGAAAAACCTCGTTTGGTCAAGCTGTTTTTTCATTCAGAGCATCACATCAGTGGAATTCAATACCACAATCAATTAGAGAATGTACATAATTTAACTCATTTAAGCATAATTTTAAGAAATGGCTTCTTCATAACCAACAATGTGAACACTAATGTTGTTTATATATCTTAATAAGCTGCTTTCTATTTTAATTTTTTAATACATATTTCTTTATTTTTTTTTATTGTCAGTTTGTATAATTTGTTTAATTTTTGGTTGAATTTCGTTGTTATTGTTTTTTCTATTTTGTTTCTTTTTTTTTTCCCTCTAGTTTTTTTGGCCTAGTAACATCGGGCAAAGGGACTACCAATGAAAACTAGCCTTTGGGCTAATTTGGGTACATTTACATTCACGAATGTTGATTAATGTAAATTTTGTGAAATAAAATAAATAAATAAATAGTTTCAGTTTGGTGGTCTCGGTTTTAATGTGATTAGGTTACATCGATTCAACCCTTGCAGTGTATCATTATGAATGATTTCTCTTGCAGACCGAACCGTTTCAGAAGCCAGTGTCACTAGAACAGCACCCGGATTATGCCGAGTATATATTTCACCCCATGGACCTGTGCACTCTAGAGAAGGTAGATCAGGCCAAGCTTTCTGTATTACAAGTGTCCAGGTATTTTTTGTGTTGATTTTGAAGAGTATATCTATTGTTTAATCATGAAAACCTAATAAACATCTTTTTGTTGATAGTTTAGATTGAGGCCACTGTATGTGCCTAAAGGTAGAAAAAAATAATGTAACTGAGAAATATGTTTCTGTAGAATATCAAGAAGAAAATGTATGGTTGCACAGAAGCATTTTTGGCTGACATGAAGTGGATTCTACACAACTGTATCATATATAATGGAGGTTAGTGCTGGACTCTGAAATCAGTGTGCATGTATCTTGACTCATATCTGTACATTCATGAAGTTTCACTGGCTCTATTTCAGGAAACCATAAGCTAACGGCAACTGCTAAAGTTATTGTCAAGATCTGTGAACATGAGGTGAGTATCCTAATCCTTATAATATATAAAGCAAGTTATACAATCTGATTCATTACCGTTCAGAAGTTTGGGTCTGTAAGATTTGATTTAATGTTGAAAGTCTCTTTATGCTCAGAAATACTGCATTTATTTGATAAAAAATACAGTAAAGCAACTATTATTACAATATAAATTAACTTAATACATTTTCTGTTTGAATATATTTTAAAATGTCATTTATTCCTGTGATGTAAAGCTGAATTTTCAGCATCATTACTCCAGTCTTTAGTGTCACATGATCCTTCAGAAATCATTCTGATATGCTAATGTGCTGCTCAAGAAACATTTTTAATTGTTATCAGTGTTGAAAACCGTTGTGCTGCTTAATATTTTTATGAAGACTAATACATTTTTTCAGGGTTCTTTGATAAATAGAAAGTTTGAAAGAACAGCATTTATTCGGGAAAAAGGAAATCTTTTGTAACATTATAAATGCCATTACTGTCGGTTTTTGAATGTCGATGAATGCATCCTTGCTGAAAAAAACATTAAATTCTTTCAAAAAAATAGGCTTTTACAAGCCCCAAACTTTTGAATGGTAGAATATGTATAATTGCACAAATTTATTTATGTAAAGCTGGTCCTAGATAAAAATTTATAGTATTAATAAATCATCCACAGATGAATGAAATTGAGGTTTGTCCAGAGTGCTACCTGTCTGCCTGTCAGAAGAGGGACAACTGGTTCTGTGAACCTTGTGTAAGAAGATGACCTTTTTAATATAATTTTGTAATACATTTTTTTTAAATCCTCTAGTTAAATATCTGGGCTGTATTTCATGGTCATATTTGTTGTTTTCATGTAGTCTCAGCCTCATCCTTTAGTGTGGGCCAAACTGAAAGGTTTTCCCTTCTGGCCCGCTAAAGCCCTGAGGGACAAGGACGGTCAGGTGGACGCACGGTTCTTTGGCCAGCATGACAGGTGAGTCTGTTAATAACATTTACAAAATATATAAACAACAACATTTAGCAAATCAAATCTAATCTAAATCAAATTCTAATTTTGGCTACAATTGCTATTGTGTTTAGTCTGTATAGTTTTACGTTTTAAAAAATGGGTTAACATTACTGTTATTGTATTAGTAGAAATAAAAAAACAACATTTTTTTTTAGTCTGTATAGTTTTACGTTTTAAAAAATGGGTTAACATTACTGTTATTGTATTAGTAGAAATAAAAAAACAACATTTTTTTTTAGTCTGTATAGTTTTACGTTTTAAAAAATGGGTTAACATTACTGTTATTGTATTAGTAGAAATAAAAAAAAAAATATTTTTTATATAAAATAATAAATTGATTTATTTTAGACAACATTTTCAGGGAAAATGCATAAATCTCAAGAATATCATGAAAAAAATGTTATTTTAAAATTTTAAATTAAAGAGGATAGTTCACCTAAATTGAAAATTCTGTCATTAATTACTCACTCTCGTGTTGTTCTAAACCCGTAAGACCTCCGTTCATCTTCGGAACACAAATTAAGATATTTTTGATGAATTCTGAGAGCTGCACAGCTGACACAGAACAGCATTCGTTGTTTATGTATGTGATACTCTCCAAAATGGCGCCAGGGTCACGCGAAGGAGACAAATTGTTGAATAAAGTCGTTATTTCTGTTTTCTTTGAGCACAAAATGTATTCTCGTAGCTTCGTAAAATTACGGTTGAACCCCTGATGTCACATGGATTATTTTACTGTCTATGGGAGGGTCAGAAAGCTCTCAGAATTCATCAAAAATATCTTAATTTGTGTTCCGATGATGAACGGAGGTCTTACGGGTTTACAACGACATGAGGGTAAGTAATTAATTAATGACAGAATTTTCATTTTTGGGTGAACTATCCCTTTAAGTATTTCTTCATCTATATTTATATGTAGGCCTACATTCCAGTTTAATAATTCTTAATGGTTATTGTATCAAGGACTCGTTGTACTCACAACAACATCAATATTACCATGGAATTTTACTGCCATACACAATTTTTATATGCATTAAAATATGTGCTTCCCCCTCATTTGGCTTTCAGAGCCTGGGTGCCCATAAACAACTGTTACCTCATGTCTAAGGAGATCCCCTTCTCTGTGAAGAAGACCAAAAGCATCTTCAACAGCGCCATGCAAGAAATGGAGGTCTACGTGGAAAACGTGCGCAAGAAATACGGCGTGTTCAACTACGCCCCATTCCGGACACCTTTCACACCCAACAACCAGTTCCAAATGCTGCAGGACCCTAATAACCCTAAAAAAGGCACGGTGAAGCCTGAGAAACCGGACAAAGTCAAGTTCAGCTTCGACATGACCGCATCCCCCAAGATGCTCTTGAGTAAGTCAGGAGGGGCGGGGCAGCGGATCTCTGTGACAGACGTACCCAGATCACCAATGAGTACCAACTCTTCAGTCCACACGGGGTCAGACCTCGAGCAGGACGAACGAGGGGCGAGAGTGTCATCGAGTCACTATAGCGGCGGTGAAGACTCAATGGATTATACAGGTGATTAATTAGATTTAATGCCTTAAAATGGCTAGTGTTTTGTTTTACCATTAATAGTGGGTGATTAAAGTTTTAAAGTTTTGCCCACAGCGTCTCCTGCGTCTCTAAAGACAAGCAACAGCCCCAAGCCTCTCCTGCCCACGCCGGTTAAACAGGAAAGGAGTTCAGGCACGGGAGGCATACTTAACCTCAATCTGGGTGAGTCTCGAAACAACCTGAGGCCTACAGAAATGACCACTGCTCTCTGATCCTTTATTTCTCCATGTTTGTTGAATATTTGTGTTGGATGTATTCCCTCAGATCGCATTAAAGCTGAAATGGACCTGAAGGAGTTGAGTGAGACTGTACAACAACAACAGCAGCAACAGCAGCAGCAAGGGACCTCGATTCTCCTCACCTCTCCCAAAAAACCTACTAGGAGTTTGGATAAAACTATAGAGAGCTGCAAAGCTCAGCTGGGTAATTAACACGTGCACACACGCAAATTAACAGTAAACCTCAAAAATGACCATCTGCTTTTTTTTGGCAACCTTGGTTTCGGAAATGTATATCATAAAGTGAATATCATAAAGTTCATATACCATAAAGTTAAGATGAAAAATATTTGCAATATTTGATTTCGAGCAGCAAAAATATGAATATTATATTTACTACATGGTTTACAGCGTTCAGAATTGAACTGAGAATGTGTTTTAAATTCTAGTGCAATTCTTCAATTTGAGGTAGCATTGAAATGTAAATATTAAAGAAGTAGAATTAAGATTAAAGGGTTAGTTCACCCCAAAATGAAAATTCTGTCATTAAGTACTCACCCTCATGTCGTTCCAAACCCGTAAGACGTTCGATCATCTTCAGAACACAAATTAAGATATTTTTGATGAAATCCGAGAGCTTTCTGACCCTGCATAGACAGACAGCAACACAACTGACACGTTCAAGGCCTAGAAAGATAGTAAGGACATCATTAAAATAGTCCATGTGATGTCAGTGGTTCAACCTTAATGTTATGAAGCTACGAGAATACTTTTTGTGTGCAAAGAAAACAAAAATAATGACTTAATTCAACAATTTCTTCTCTTCCGTGTCAGTCTTGGACGCACGTCCCTTTAATTTTAATTCAAATTAATCCTATATAATAAGTGTAATATTAAAATGAGGAAAGCTTGTCAAAACAATTTTTTAATGTTGGTTTGACAGCCTTGTTTGAAAGAATAAATTCTAGATGTTTTACAGGCCTATGGACAAACAAGTTTATAAACCAGGGTAGAAGAAATCTTCATTTCCCAGATTGCCATTAACTGCCCTTAAATTTCTCTTCCTGTTATTCCAATTCAGATTCCAGTTTAACTTCCTGCTGGTTAACACCTCAGTTCAAATTCCAATTTATGAATTGAAAGGGAGCCAGTTCTCTAATTCTACACTTTGCACAACCGTAACATAATTTTTTATGAGGCGATAAACTACACTTACAACTCCCATAAAGCATTGTGAATGATAATCTAATCTGTCTGGGTTTTTGTGTGGTTTTATTGTCTTATCAGAAAACACTACTACTGTTTTTATGCTCAACCCTACAGAATTCTGTATAGATTAGCATTTGATAATTAGCTAGCAATTTAACTACCCTAGTGGGGGATATATATATATATATATATATATATATGTATATATATATATATCATATTTGAAATAAATTTATTTTGTGCTAAGTATACTACAAATACTTTTTCATATTTATGTGCTTAATAAAAATACCCTGCAATTGTACTTTAGATATACTAAACTGATATACTTGAAGTCTGCTAAATTGGAGCAGCTAATTTTGTGCTTAATGCACTTTAATTGTGCAGAAGTATTGCTGAAGTCCAGCTAAAGATATATTGAAGTATATTTGATTGTGCTAAAGTGCAATTATTGCAAGTTTACTTCAGGTACACTTTAAATATCTTGCATTTAAAGACTGATATTATGAAGAGATCATACAATCCTTAATAATAGTGGTATTAAAACACAATTTAGGCTTAATATTAAGTAATGTGCATTGTGCAATAAAGAAATACTCCAAATAGAGTTTAATTATAATTTTATATTAGTGATTATTAAGAGATATATGTCAATAAATGTTAATGGATTTGAAGTATACTTAGTATGAAATAAATGTATTTTAAATAAATTATGGCATAGTTTTTTTTACTAGGGTGCTGGCTACTATTAACTAAAGTTATGTAGGTAACCTGCAAATATTGCCTAGATTTGTTTCACTTATTGGTGATTGGTGGATTATGCTTCAAGAATTATGCATTATGTATTACTAGTAATCTTGTACTTCACAGGGAATAGAAAACTGTTAGTTCTAATAATACTTCACAATATTACAAATATTTTTGATCAAATAAATAGAGGATAGGTGAGCATAAGAGACTTCTTTTTCAAAAATGTGGAAAAACCTTACCAACCCCAACCTTTTAAACGCTGCTGTATGTCTGAAATCCAGCTTTTGAGCTTATGCAGTCTATCAAATTAAAACTGAAAAGAATGTCTCTTTTTCTATCCACAGGGATCAATGAGATCTCAGATGATGTGTATCGCGGTGTTGAGCACAGTGACTCGGACGACTCGGACAAATCTGACTCCAGCGACAGCGAATACATGTCTGAGGATGAACAGAAGCCTAAGAACAATAACCACAACAACAGTGTCCACAAAGACTCCAAAAAGAGACCCAGACCTCCATCCGCTCAAGGACAAGACCAAGACGCTGCCCCATCAACAGCTGGAGGAACACCAGGTGTAGACAAGAAATCCTCAGATCCCCAGACCAAAGAGAAGTTAAGCAGTGGCGTGGAGAAAGACTCCCAGGAGAAGAGCAAACCGCTGCAGCAGACCCAGAAGGAGAGGTCACAGCCTGGGCAGGACGCTCGGCCTGCTGGATCAGAGCTGGATGTAGACTCTGACTCCGAGCGGGAGCTGGTGATTGACCTCGGTGAAGAACAAGGTGGGAGGGAAAAGAAGAAAGCCAAGCGAGAGACCCCATCAGCCCCCATCTCCACAACTAAAGATCAGACAGGCATTAAAACAGATGGTAGGTACCTAACAGTTTGGATTTTGTTTCTGTAAAAACATTATGTTTAGAATTTCTAATCTGTATCTTTGTTCTTCTCTATGTCTAGGTAAAACTTCTGCATCTACCAGCATATCAGCTCCTTCATCCACAGATAACACTTCATCTTCCTTCAATCCCGGTCCAAAAGATGCAGCCGCATCAGCCATCAAGCCTCCAGCCACCGTCGCAACTGCATCTACCACTCAAGCCACCTCCACCTCGGCTGTTCAACCCATGTCTGCTGTCCCAGTCGCTTCCAATGGGGTGAAAAAACAGCGCCCTCTGCTGCCTAAGGAGAGCACACAGCCGGCCCAGCGGCCTGCGGCGTGGAATCCAGCTGGTGCTAAATTTCAGACGTCGTCTCAGAAGATGCAGAGACAGCAACAACAAGGTGAGACGGTTCCTCAGAGCCAAGCGCAGCCCCAGACCTCAGCCAACAACTCCAGCACACGCTACCAGACCAGACAGTCCGTCAAAGGTAAATACTTGACAGTGCAGACATTTGATTCCCATAAGAATTAAAATTTTATATATATGTGTGTGTGTGTGTGTGTGTGCAGTATATATTGTTTTTATAAGAAATAAACTTTTATGTTTTTAATAGATTTTTGAAATTAATTAATTAATTGTTTTCTGATCTAGACGAATACCCCTAGATAAAAAAAACTCCCTGCCCTAAATTAATCTATATAAATCTATTTAAGATATAAAATGATAATAATAAAAAATATATATGAAGAGTTTATTTGCAAAAACGGATGAATTCATAAATCATGTTTTTTATTGTGTTATCATGTTTTTATTGTGTTAGTTAGCTGTATTTTTTTTAGCTATTATTATTTAATCGAAACGACACAACTGCAGTTTGATTGATATTAATTGGAATGCAGCATAAAAAAAAAACCATGATTTTTGAACATCTTTTTGAGTTATCTGTTTTTGCAAATGAACTCTTCATATATATATATATAGTTTTGGATTGTTATAAATATTTTGACAAACTTTTTTATAATCTAGATGAATATATCTAATCTGTTTTTATTTATTGACTATAATTTGTATTATAACGTTTAGATTAATAATGTTTAGTTAGATTTTTAAAATTCGGATATAAAAATGTATATCTAAAACAAATAGATTTCTCCTGTAGTACTCAAATCCTTTGCTCTAGTCTACAGAAATGACATAAACGGTGAGACCTCTAGGCCGACTGGGAGCTAGTGTCAGCACACCATATAAAATAAATCACATCTTTATTTCACTTATAAATCTTATAAACATCTTATAAGCCACAACTTTATGTGGACATCATGGCTCATCATCTGTCCATCCTTGTGAGGCTAATGACAATTTTAAAGCTCAAATAATACATTCTTTTATGAAAAAAAAAAAATTAAGTACGTGCTTTTACCAAAAAAAAAAAAAGTATATACTGTATAGTTTCACATTCCAGCTTCACATTCTTCCAAAAGTGATTTCTGCTTTTAAAAACAACTACGACAACAACTACTATAAAACTGAAAGACAAGACGAATGTATTTTCTGTGGTGATCGACATTATGCAGCTCAATTTGTCTTGAACCCATAATGTTGGCTCAAGGTGGCATGAATCTTTTCTCGTTTCACCAGCTGTTCAACACAAAGACACCTCACCTGTTAACGTGGGCTCTGGTGCGTCCACTTCCAGTCTGGCTGGAGACTTCCTCACCCCTCCGGCCTCTGCTGATGTCGCCGCTGATATCGCCAAGTACACCACTAAGGTGAGTCAGATATTCACTCACTTCTGATGTAAAGACTGTTCAATCAAAAAATTCCGTTAAATAGCATATATAGTACAATGAAGCAATAAAAAGCAATAGAGCATTTTTAAATAGTCTGTTTTCAAACACAAAGCCTGCAGCATTTGCAGGCCATAGATACAGCTCCCTGTGCTGTAATTCCGGAAAATCATTCAGAAAACCATTATTAAAAAATTATACATAAATACAGTATATACATTCTAGTGTGTAAATTCATTATATGGAATGAATCAAGATGGTTTTTGGATAATGATTTGAATTGATCCTTGATTAATTCTTCTGCTGAACTACTGGTACTTAAATTGTGCCTAAATATATTTTTTTTTAAATGATGAATTTGGCTGTTGTCTGTGTTTTCCATCATAATGGCAGGTGATGGACGTGATCAAGGGAACAATGACAGAGATCTACAATGATCTCTCTAAGAGCACGACGGGGAACACCATTGCAGAGGTTTGTGCTTTTATGTCATTTCTGCTTGATTTTATTCCACCATTCATACTCTTTCTCAATATGTATTTTATAAAAAATTACATTTATAGGTTGCAGGCTGACAGATTGAATTTCTATAATGGCAGTAGTTTATGGTTCTCTTGGTTGACGTTCCCTGTGGATTTTGTTGCAGATCCGGCGGTTGAGGATTGAGATTGAGAAACTCCAGTGGTTGCATCAGCAGGAGCTGTCAGAGATGAAACATAACCTCGGTAACTCTCCTTTATGACTTACAATAGCTCTGCAAACTGCTTTATGGTAGTTTTCTGATAGCAAATGCTTTTATTATCCAATGCAATGTAGAGAACATTTACAGAGAGCAGATCACTGAACTCCTTTCCTACATGTTCTAGATGAGCAAGCCAGAGCTTCAGCCACTGATATATCACTATTGTGTGTGTGTGTGTGTGTGTAGAGCTGACCATGGCTGAAATGAGGCAGAGTCTGGAGCAGGAGAGAGAGCGGCTGGTGTCAGAGGTGAAGAAACAGATGGAGATGGAGAAACAGCAGGCGGTGGACGAGACCAAGAAGAAGCAGTGGTGTGCCAACTGCAAGAAAGAGGCCATTTTCTACTGCTGCTGGAACACAAGTTACTGCGACTACCCCTGCCAGCAGGCACACTGGCCCGAACACATGAAATCCTGCACACAGTCAGGTAACCAGTTCTACACCTTACTCTCTTTTTCCATTTTTGGCTTTTTACACTCTTAACAATAAAGGTTCCGTGAAGAACCTTTATCATCAATGAAGACTTTCTAGTGCACTAAAGGTTCTTTATAATGGAATAATCAATATGTTCTTCACACTAAGTGGTTCTTTCAGTGGCAGTGCTATAAAAACCTGCTTTTGGAAGTTTTATTTCCAAGAGTGTACCACTTTTAGCAAAAGACTAGAAGAGAGAGGACAAGAAATGACGGGGATCAAGAAACAGGCCAGATTCAAACTTTTATTGCCCAGATTAGCACCAAAGCTCAGTGTGTAAATAACACCAAATGCTCTCTGAAACTCTGAATGGCTAATAGCATATTAACATACCACTCACACTGTTTCTCCAGCGTATACTGTGCACAGAATGCCAATTATTTTATACATGGAATGGAATATATTTGGCAAAATAGTGCAGTATACATTGAATTTTCATTTCCAGCGTAGTGCAGTGTAATTGTCTCTTATTATTATTATTTTACTTGTTGTAGTGTGATTAGAATATTATTTAAGTGATGTTAAGACATTTTACATAAATTAGAAAATACTAAATCACAAATTTTAACTCCAAAAAGATAACTGAAAGCCACTCACATCATTGAATAGGTACTATTTTACTATTATTTATTTATTTTTATTTTTACCATTTTATTTACCATTTACTATAGACCCTTTTCAAGTTAGGGTCAAGTTTCTTTGAAGTGGTTGTCATATTTGGATAAAGTTCTGTAATGGTAAATAAAACCTTTAACATATATCATTTTTGCATTCCATTTTGCCTCAATACCAAAAGAAAATAATCCACAAATCCACAGCTGTTGTATTAGAAACACTCACGCAACAGTGTTAACCTATGTGTGTGTGTGTGTGTGTGTGTGTGTGTGTGATTTAATGCCAAGGTAATAAAACACAAAAGTATAGTGTTATAAATGTACTTTATATTTTAAAAAAATGTAAATATATAAAAACTTGCTAGATTTACAATGTTAATAACTGTAAAAATGCATCAGAACAGTCTGTGAAAAGAGTCCATTTTTTTAACTAGTAGGCAGTATACACTGTGCAGTATTCAGTATGTAAGCTAGGATTCCATTCTAAACATAGCCACTTTCTGTTTTCTTTTGCATTTATTACTGAATAGCAATTGAGTTATAGCTTTCTCTTTTTCATCTCCTCAGCCACGGCATCTCAGCAGGAAACTGAAGCAGAAGCCAGTTCAGAATCAGCCGGAAAACCTGTAGGACAGTCCCCTAAAACCCAACCTTCACCAACCGGAGAAAGAACATCACCCGCAAACCGAGGAGCCTCCCCTTCCTCGGACAGCACTAAAGGCAGCTCCTCCGTGGCCGTCTCATAACCCGAGTGTGAAATCTTTTTATCATCAGAACGGTGCCATTCAAAGAGAGTCAGATGTTCACACCAAAGGACCTTGACTCATTTCGTACAGACTGTTCCTTGTTCAGTGTGATCATGACATGGTGTCACTTCCTGTTCACTACATCCAACACAACATTAGGGTAATGCCTATAAACATTTGATTCATTTCTACGTACATTTCGTATTTGAATTTGTGACTTGTTTAGTACAAAGACAGAAACACCCTTTGATATAAAATATGCAGCTGTAAAACTGTTGTCCTTTTTTTTTATACATATCAACTTTTGTAAACTTCAACAAATGTGTTTGATCAATATAATTTTTTTTTCTCTAAATGTGAAAGATGCACTTAGAAGTGCCTCCGAAAGAGTAAGTTCATTTTATCAAATGAAGAGCGTGTTTGTACAAGGTCAAAAACTTATGGAATATGATTGTTAGTACTAATGGATTGTCACTACGTTTTGGGGGGGGGGGGCGGTCAAAGATTTAATTCTTTAATATCTTTCACTTATGAAAGGCTTCTTGACAAAGAAATAAACAAAAACAAGCAAAAGTCTAGAGGAGTAAAAGAAAAGATTATACTTATTGTGGGCATGTTTCTTTTTTTCTCTTGTCTTGTGGACTCTCTTGTTTACATACTGTAAATACAAAAGAATAAGCAGAGATGATATCTGTAAGAAAAATAAAGTCTTCATGAGACAAATCTTTGGTATTTTACACATATGTATCAAGAATAGCTGTCTATGCATTTCCCTTACTGTAACACTTTAGTTTAGGGACCAATTCAACTTTGGTAATCAGCATACATATTACTAACATATTGGCTGTTTATTAGTACTTATAAAGCACATGTTAATGCATTATTTTGCATTACCATATTTTAGATCCCTTAACCCTACCCTATTCTCAAACTTAACAACTTATCTTACTAACTTATAATAATCAGCAAATTTGGAGTTTATTCAGACAAAAGTCGTTAATAGTGAAAATTGGTCCCCAAACTAAAGTGTGACTTCCCTGACACATTCTTTGTTTGTTTGATATATATTTCTACATCAATAATTATTTATTATTAAAAAAAATTATTTAGCGTACATCAATAAAATCTAATTTTAACATAAATACAATTCCTTCAATATATTACCAAATAAAAGCAATGAGACGGAAAGACTCTTATTTTGCCAAGTATTTTGCCACTTTTCCTGCGTATCTGTACGTGATGACGTAAGACGCCCAAAGAACAAACCGACGCATGATCTGAGAGAAAGAGGTAAAACTCGGCTGAGACACCTCAAATACCGTTAGATATTCTTCCTTTTCTTTTATTCTATAAACTAATGACGCAGAGTGATATGTTATGACAACGTCGTTAAAGCGTTTGTCCCATTGGGAATGGTTTATTTTAAACGAGTGCGCTGAAATGAACGGTTAGCCCCGGCCGCTAACGGAAGCTGCTGCTGCTGTTGATGTTTTATGGGACAAAGAATTAGCTAGGCTTGTCTTATATTTCGTCGGTACTCTGGTCTATGAGGTCGGTGTTTGAGGTTTAATACGTATATTCATTTTAACCTTCTTGTTTTAATAAGTAACGTTATCGGTAAATACGTCTGTTATAAGGGTTATAGTGTGGAAGGCGAGGCCTGGATGTAGAAGAGCAGCTGAGGCGGTGTTTGCCTCAAGGGCTGTGTCTCAAAACCCTGCGAGCTGCCTAAAAAGAAAGCATTTTGGGCGTCAAAGGCGCATTCGAGTCAAACGTGCTTATAATTAAAATTACTTCGAATAGAATGCTGTCTAGGTAGGGCAACTTGTTAGGTTTTAAGGCACAGACAAAGTGACTGACATTATTGCTGTCTTTCTCAGCATCTGCTTAGCTGTCTTGAGACTCTGGCTGGCTTAATGCCATTACGATGTATTACAGCTCCATTCCTCTTCATAGTTTATGTCACACTATGAAGTCTTTTGTTGACAGGAAAGACTATATTTATTTATTAAAATCAAGAATATTGTGTTTTGTTGATTGGTTGTTTTTGGATGGACGGATAGAAGAGGAAATGTGAGATTTAATATCCGTGATACACTCCCTTAGGATTCACCCATGTGATTAAATACGTTCATTGCAGTGCTTATGTTTCTTTATACTCTGTCAAGTTTAATGTATGATAATAATTGAGCTTCCTTTATAGTAAAATATAAGTCAGACAGAATAAGTCTTATATTATTATAATATTATGTTGATCAATAATAGCCTAATATTATATGCCCTAGTTTCAACACTATTAATTTTCAGTCTGCGTCAGCAACACATGGTTTGCTCATCATGATGTCTCATTTATCTCTTGCTTCATTCTAGGACATGGCTGTGAACGTATATTCCACCTCAGTGACTAGCGACAATCTGAGTCGCCATGACATGCTCGCGTGGATCAATGAGTCTCTACAGATGAACTTTACCAAGATCGAGCTTTTATGTTCAGGTAGGGATATGCCGGTATCAAATTCTCATGTTGCGATTAATTGCTAATGCTTTTATCACGGTATACGGTATTATCGCGATATTGACAATTAGTTTTAAAAAAAGTGCTGTCATAATACAGTATAAAAGGTTTAATAACTTTTTTCTTATAACAAAAATAACTGAACATTTAAATGCAATAAAGCAATACAGAAAAATCTATAAAGTTAAAAGTTTTACACAGATTAAAGTGCAAAAGAACTATAAAGACCAATAGGTATCACTTTACAATAAGACCTCATTAGCTAGTTAATGCATTAACATTCACAATGAGCAATAGCAACATTTGCTACAGAAGTTATTAATCCTTGTTTAAAAAATACAAGTCTTAGTTCATGTTAGCTCATTAAATAACACAGTTGCAACTTTAGATTTTAACAACCTGTTATTAAATATTAGAATACCTAAGATTAATGAATGTTCAGAAGAATTTTTCATTGGCAGTTTAACTAATGAATTAACTAATGTTAACTAATGAAGCCCTAATGTAAAGTGTGACCGAACAATAAAGAATCAAAACACTTTCAAACAATATCTAGGGCATGTTGTAGTCCAGATTAAAATGTAAAAAAAGTTTGAAAATAAATAGCCTATTAAGTCTAAATATTTAAGTATTTGGCGCTGTGATGAACATACAGAGTGCAACAGCTGGGTTCTGAAAGTAAAAATTCCATTTCTTTCATAAGGAAATTTATGGAAATGTAAGGAAATAGCTGGTTGGTTTGGTTTCTGGCTTATATTGTTTTATCAAAGACTTCTTTTAAATCGCTATGTTAAAATGAATGGAAAAAATTACTTCCAGAACCAATGCTGCTAAAGAAATGGGCGTGCAATAATGCACTTTATAATAATGGATATGTTTTGGAGTAATGGAAGCATGTTTGTAATCTGATTTTCTCTACAGGTGCAGCCTACTGCCAGTTTATGGACATGCTGTTTCCAGGCTGCATACCTTTGAAGAAACTTAAATTTGGTGCAAAGTTAGAGCATGAATACATTCACAATTTTAAGATATTGCAGGCCGCCTTCAAGAGGATGGGCGTTGACAAAGTGAGTTGTTTAATTTCTTTTCCTCAAGCTTGTCTGCACAAGCAGTGTTTGTCTTTGAGCAAAACATTTTAGAGATTCATCAACAAGCCACTTAGGTTTATTAATTTCCATTTTATCAGAAAAATTATATTCACTAGAATGTGCTATCATTATTGGAGTTTGGAACCAATTATACCTTTTCTTTTTTTTGTTGTTGTTGTTGTTCCTTAATTTCACCAACAAAACAGTGACCCTAATAAATCCATGAAATAATATTTGAATGTGTTTTCCCCATCAGATTATCCCGGTTGACAAGTTGGTGAAGGGCAAATTTCAAGACAATTTTGAATTTGTTCAGTGGTTTAAGAAGTTCTTTGATGCCAATTACGACGGAAAAGACTATGATCCAGTGGAAGCGCGACAGGGCCAGGACACCATGCCTCCACCCAACCCCTCCATGTCTGCCCTCAGCAAACCCAAGAAGATCATGAATGCAGGTTGGTTACATTGCACCGGTTGTTTGCACCTCATAGTTTGATCTCAGCATTTAGGATTAGCCATACATTTTTATGTTTTTCACATCTGCCCAAAAAGGTCAGATATTCAGAACTACAGTAGCATTCAACAGTTTGTGGTCAGTAATATTGATGTTTTTTTCTTTTCTTTTTTTAAGGTTTATTTTGGCGTTTTTTGCCTTTATTACGATAGGACAGTGTAGAGGAGAAAGGAAGCGAAGAGGGAGAGAGTGAGGGGGGTGGGATCAGGAAAGGTCCTCCAGCTGGGATTTGAACTCTGGACACCCATAACGCAACAACATCACATGCAGTGTTAATTACGTTGACGAATAATTTTCGTCATAATGTTCGTCAACGAAATTTTTTTCACTGACGACAACGAGACGATAACGAACAAACTCTTTTTGAATGACAAAAACTATGATGAAAATATATTGACATTTTCGTCAACGAATAAAAACGAGATGAAAATGTTAGGGAGGGACGATTTGGGAAGAGATTCATTCAATTTCAGGACGAATCTGCTTCATAGTTAGGAGGTTAGATGCATACATGAACCAGCAGGACATAAGCTAAAATACACTTGCTGCACGTCACATAAAACGTTCAAAAATGTCAATATGTGGGAGTAAGAGAAGAACAGACATATGGATAAATCTGACGACGCAAGAGAGAACTCAATTCGGTCCGGTTTTCTGAGCGCAGACACTGAAGCATACACACAGAAAGCACGTCTCACAGCCATAGACTGTATGCTCACAGCGCGCGAGTAGGCCTACTCTTTCACGTCGCATGAACGGAGAATTACACACAAAATGATGTCGAATTGTCAGTTTTGAC